CCCCCTACCCCACCCAGCCTGGAGCCCCCTCCCACTCTCTTAAACCCTCAGCCCCAGCCCAGAGTCCCCTCCTGCATCCCAAGCTGGCATATGCACCCTCTTTCACACCCCAACCCCAATTTTGTGAGCATTCATGGCCCTCCATACAATTTCCATACCCTGATGTGGTCATTGGTTAAAAAGTTTTCCCACCCCTGCCTTAGACCATGCCCTTTAAATTGAGACTACTAAGCAAGGTAAACTTCAGACAACCTTCCTTCACTACTACCGCTTTTCAAGGATTATTGCCCCTTTTCAGATTGGTTTTCATGAAATTTACAAAGAACAATCTTTTACTTAAACTGTTTAATAACAGGTAAATTAAAAATAGATAATTGGATTAAAACAAAAGACTGAATGCAGAACACAGAAATGCTATAAAAGTCAAACTCTGCAAATCTCATCTGTAAAATTAAACCCAATACACTTACATTTCCAAATGAGCTTTTTCTCCCCTCCCCACCACTTTTTTTTGGCTCTCAGCCTTTCGAAGTTACATGGTTTCAGGATTCTCAAGTACCTCTTCCCCTCAGATTTCAGTCGTTTCTCATCTGACCATTTTTCATTTTAAAGATGTGCCATTTCTTGTTGAGATTACAAACAAAGATCCTTATTCTTCAAAAACATTGAGGAGTCCTGTGGTACCCTTAAAGACTATCAGATGCATCTGACGAAGTGGGTCTTTGCACATGAAAATTTATGCCCCAATAAATCTGATAGTCTACGTCTATGCTGTAGACTTCTTGCAGAAAAGCATATGCAAATGAAGTGTGGCGTGGAATATCGCTGCACTTCATTTGCATAAGTAATGAGCAGCCGTTTTTGCGCAAGAGGCTTTTGAGCAAAATCGAGCAGTGTAAACGGCTCCTTTTTGTGCAAAAAACTCCTCTTGTGCAAGAGCCATTCTTCTTTAAAAAATGAGGAAGAATGGCTCTTGCACATGCGGGGGAGGGAAGGTTGTGCAAAAAGGAGCCATCTACACAGCTCGTTTTTGCGCAAAAGCCTCTTGCACAAAAGCAGCTGCTCATTACTTATGCAAATAAAGCATGGTGATATTCCATGCCACGCTTCATTTGCATATGCTTCTCTGCAAGAAGGCTACAAAATAGACATAGCCTTAGTCTTAAGGACTCCTCCTTTTTGCAGCTAAAGACTAACATGGCTACTAAGCTAGTACTTCATTTTTCAGTGCAGTCTATGGGCTATACTTCCAACGACCTCACTGGTGCTCTGCAGAGGCACAAAGGCCTGCCCACATGGAGCTCATTGCTGAACTTAAGTCAGTTTAATGTTTGAACAAAGTGCACTATCTTGAGGGAGTGCAATAGTTTCCATTCTCTGTACAATGGCTATTGTCCCATATTTCTATTACCTCCAGCACTAGATAGGGGGAATGTTATTTCCCAATTTCCTCCCAGGATGTAGTGTTTCTCAAGCCCTTTGATCTTAGCCTGCCTAAAGGGTGACTAGATCCTTGTCTGTGTGTCGTCTCTAACCTGAGAAGTTAACCTAAAAAAAGTTCATCCACGTAGCTATGACTTGAGAAGATAGACATCTTGCCAACTAAACTGCATGTGTGGCTCATGAAAGCTTATGCCCTAATACCCTAATAAATGTGTTAGTCTTTAAAATGCTGCCAAATTCATTGTTTTTTTCAATCCAGAAAGTGTGTTCATAGGCTACCTAACGTGTGGAAGGGGGTAGGTAAGAAAAAAAACTGTGGTTAGGACACTCCCTTATGTAAGCGGGGGAATGGTCCTGCTATTGTGGGGAACTTTCCTGGCTTCTATACCACCCCGGTGAAGTGGACCAGCGAAAGGATCTGAGTCCCCGCTCCCACTTCCTTTACCCCACGGTTTCCCTGATCCTGAGGGCTCCCCCTCCTCTCTCCTGAGCAGCAGAGTCCTCGAAACCCCGACAAGGCAGGGCCCAGGTTTCCTGGGGCTTAATCCCCGACCTTGTAGTCAGTAGGGGCAGGAGTTAGGGTGTCCCCACTCCGAAGTGCTCTCTGCACGCTTTCTTGGCCCAGTGATCATTTCATAAGGTTCTAAGCAAATACAGTTTATTAAACATCAACTGATTAAAGAGAAAAGAATAAGAAAAAATGAGAATGGTTAAATGAGAACACACAGCCCTGCTCTGTAGCACAGGGACATCAAAACAGCAGCCTGCAGAGTGTAAGGACAGTCCACAGTCTCTTCCTTATAGGCCCCTTAAAGGCCCTGGATGTGCTGCAGGGGGGCTGCAGGCTGGACACGCTTGTTCTGGCAGTGACCACACAGCCTCAAGCTCTAAGTGGCCAGACCCCTCTCCCAGTCTGGCCTGCTGGGCCTCTTGGCTGGTGATATGTCCCTGCCCAGAGCCTCTCCCCGCACTTTGCTGGTCCCAGCTGCTCACCATACCCAGCTGCAGGCTGTGCTGCTTTGCCAGTCTCCAGCTCCTTGCATTGCTTCTCTGTTCCTTTTGGCTCTCTGAGCACTGCCAGTCTTCTGCTCAAAACAGGGTCTGCGCTCCTTGGGCTGTGTGTGCCTGGCTCTGTTGCTGCAAAACTGCCCCTCAGCACAGCTTGCACTCCTTGGGCTGTCTGTGTCTGGCTCTGTTGCTGCAGGACTTCTTCTCCACACAGCTTGCTCCTCTTAGCTGTCTCTCAGCTCTCTCCTTGCTCAGAGAGACCCAGAACAATCCCAGCTCACAGGGAGGACGGGGTCTGGCCTCTTGCTTTCCTCACTGGCCTGTCCAACCTGTCAATCAGGCTGAGCTGGAGTGTTAGCTGCTTTCCATTATCTCTGGGGTCTGTCAGTCTCAGGGCCCTGATTCTTATGGACCCTTTTGATACTGGGAGCTGGCAAACCAAAAACTCCCACAGAGTTTTAGTAAGGGGCTAACAGTCCTCTTACACTTAGAATACTGGAGACCAGCAGTTCAAGGCCCCCCTTGAACTATATTGATTCTCACTGTTTTTCTGACTCAGTTAATATTCAGTTATTTAAAGTGGAACAACTTCAAAAGAAAAGAATGAGGGAGATTCACATGAGAATAGTCTAGTGATTAGAACATGTATCTAAGAGGTGGCAGATCCCTGTTCAAATCCCTTTTCACTGAGCAAAGGGAAGACTTGAACTGGGGTTCTCTCCCACCGTCCCCACTATTTCTATGCAGAGTTGGTGATCTCAGTTTGTGGGTCACAAGCAGAAATAGACTCCTCCCTGCAGCCCAGAATTAGGTGTTTACCTCCATGACAAAGAGGAAGCTTAGATATCCTCTCATTGGCATCTCCCACTGACTAGTGCAAGCAGTTCCCTGCCCAGTATGCTGAGTTTTGTGGATGACCTTAGGCACCTATCTCTCTTTCCATTCGTTGTATAGGGAGCCCTCTGTGCTTATTTCAGGATTTATAGATCACAGTGTTGTTCTTGTGGTTTTCTAGGAAATTGTCTTTTTGTGGGTCTGGGTCCAGTATGTGAAATATAGAACCTTTCACAAATATTCATTTCTCTTTAAAGTTAAAAACCAAAACAGATATAAATCATTACTGTATCATAAGTTATAATTGGTGGTGTAGCTTTGCTGGCAAGTTCCGTTTTCCTTGAGCCTCATACCTTAATGGAGGTTACTTTTCCCACAGTAATTGTTGTTTTTAAAATATACAGATTAACAAAAAGTTTTTGTGTCTATAGTTGCTAGAACTCATCTTGCATTTTGCTAGACTTTTAATTTTAAGAAATACTAATAAAACTCAGAGATACCATATTTATTTCAGACCAGAAATCACGAGCCTCGCTGCATGTCAGGAAACCTGTTCTCTTTTGTAGAATATGTAGGAAAAAAACAACCTTAACATTTATGAGAGTTGTTCTGAGGGGGAGTAACTTTATTTTCAGTTAACGTATAATTAATTCTTATGAGTAATTGGATTTTGTATGCTTTTTTCACTTAAGACAAAATAGGCCCTTTACTTTTATTTATTTCTATATGTAGTACTTCGCTAAATCTTTCTATATAATCTTTCTATATAATTGTATTTATTAAAACAGTGTTTCCCAACCTGGTAATCAGACTAAGCTAGTCCAGAAAGGTGGGGTAAGATGTAAAACAAAAGCGAATAGTAATGCAGGCAGGGAAAGCTTCTAACCTCTTCCATTCCTGTTGCAAATGATCTCCTGCAGCTACAGATAAAATCCTCCTTGAAAATCACCCGCTTTGCCTCCCATCTTCTGTGGTGGCTCCTAATGTATCAAGCTGCAGATTGACTCAGTGGTACAAACTATGTGGCTCAGGTAGCAGACTTTAACCTTTTCTCCATCTCCTCTACTGCAGCTACAGTTAATCTAAAGTTACTGAGATGATATACAACGTGCCCCCTGTAGGTAAAATGCACTAGTAGGTTTCTGGTGGGTGAGAGAGTATAGAGGGGAAGGAAAAAAAAGAAACCACAGAAAAAGCAGATACAGGTAGACCCCGAGTTACGCGGATCCGACTTATGTTGGATCCGCAGTTACGAACGGGGATTTTCTCACCCCGGAGGACTCGAGCGGCGGGACGCCTGGTCCCGCCGCCCGCCTCCTCTGGGGCGAGAAAAGCTGCTCCCAGTCTCCCTGGTCTGCTGGGGGAGCCAGCAGACCAGGAAGACGGGGAGCAGCTTTTCTCACCCCGGAGAACGTGGGCGGTGGGACCAGGCGTCCCGCTGCTCTAGTTCTCCGGGGCGAGAAATCCCCGTTCGTAACTGCGGATCCGACATAAGTC